TGTCTTTCTATAAATAGTTATATAAAGCTTACAAAATTTTTTATAGACTTGGAAATAGAATAGGTCCTTCATTTTACATTATAGAAAATGGAGTTTTTAAAACTGTCAAACAATATTGTCAATCAATCTAGATTACATGTTCCTAAAGCCTATAACTTATAGCATTAAGATATCAGACACAAACTTAAGAAAGATGATTTAGACAAGTGGTCATCAAATACCATCTTTATAATAATCTTTGAAAATCATCTTCGTAATACGATAACTAAATCATAAATTGACCAAGATTGATGTCGCTCAAACTCATAGTTTATGACATAAAAATTCTAGACCAAAGCTAGACCTAGATAATTTAAATTAATGTTCAGCGAATCCAATGCTGAAGGTGGTCTTTGAAAATATGATAACCTAATAATACATTTATTTGGAGTACATGTTGCGTATCGACTGATGAGCGGTCGATATGGTGTGGTTTTTCTTTTCATTTGACTTATAATTTGTTTTGTCACCTATTCGGCTGAAACGCTCGCTTTCCCAAAGAATTTTAAACAGATAAGTCGATGAAGAAAAAATATAACGCGTACATATATAAGGCGACGAATTTTTTGTATTAGTTACTGTTTTTATTATATGTTCGTTTTGCTTATTTACAAATAGCTTACTTATTTATGATTTATTTTACCCGCTCACGGACTTCATTTAATAAAATTATATTTTCTTGTTTGATGGACGGGCTGGCATTTTCGATGAATAACAGACACTCTCTCTTACCTCAAAATTACTTTTTATTTCTGTTTCAAAACTGCGGAGACAAACACTCTCTGGCGCGCAAGGATGAACAAAGAATGAGCTACGTAGAACTAGCTTGTTGACGTATGCGCTCTCATGAATTACATATATATATACGTGCATATGAAAGACATTTTAACATTGTTTAATAAATTTCTGTTGATCAGTATCAAGAGCTTCAATCTTGAATCATAAAAGTATATAAATAATTTTTTTTTATTAAAATTAAGGTTGATTTTTTGTGTAATTAAGAAAAAGATCTTAGATTTCGAACAACTTTATTGATATAAACATTTTTAATTTTACATTAATAATTGTACATAAATGATAAGTCTTCAGTAAGTAGTTAAAAGAATAGTATAATTTTTCTAAAATAAAATAATTATAGTTATTTAAGAAAACCATTTTGTAATTAGATATTACATATCTATTAAAATATTCTATTTAGAATAATCTCATTTAATATAATTAAAGATTTGAAATTCTCCAACAGTAAAATAAAATGGTCATTTCATGACAGTTCCAATTAGAAGTATGTAGATAGAATAATAGAATTACTCACAAGCTCTTTGACAGTAAAAGCATAATTCAATATAAAATGAAATAAAAAAAGGTCATTTAATGACTGATTAGAATTTCTAAATAGAAATATGAAGATAGAATAATAGAATCACTTACAAGTTCTTTGGCAATAAAAGTATAATCAAACTCAATTTCAAACAAAAATAGGTCATTTCATGACTGATCACAATTGCCAACAATAAATAGGTAGGATGCATATATGCTCATTAATCTATTACTCTTTATAATAGTATTTCTTTATCAATAAAATGATGCTTAAACTTTTATTCTTAAGGAACTAAGTAACAGTAACTCGATAGAAACGGATTGCCATTATTATGAGGATTTTCTCCTAATAGCTAATTCAATCCATTTTTTAATATTGTCTATACTTATATGTGCTTTCGAAGGTGACTTAGCTAAAAATTTGGCACAAGTGTTAGCTGAAGGTACTTTACCTGCATCAATATAATCAGAAAAACTTGAATATATAAATAATGGTACCCGATTTCTATCTGGTAAATCTTTGTTATTTTGTGACTTTTTACGTTGAGTATGTATCCAAGAACGTACTTGCGGCTCTGTCCTTAAACGTAAATGTTCGTCTGTGGTTTTCTTCAAAAAAGCTTTGATTGCCGCTGCTGAAGGTACTTTGTGCTGATTATTCAATGCGTTTGGGAAGTATTCCAGTAAAGCATTAATCGACGACTCACACCATCGTATATGTTTTCCAAATGGAACTGTATTTAAAAAGATTTTTGAGGATAATAATCAATATTTGATTGAATAAATATAATATTGTATAATTATGTTGTTCTTTCACAGTAGAACATACAAGGGTGCTTGCTGATGGTACCGTAACGTTTTATAGAAAGAGTAATTAAGCAACTGCAAGACAGAGGTACCGCATGAGAGGTTTGTATGCGATTCTGAATATCTGTATAATTTCTCTTTCTCTCGTATTTGCCGCAAGACTGTGGTACGTAGTGCTGATAATTTTCTCACCTGTTATTTTATACCTTACATGCAGAGACTCATGCAATTGTATAATATTTGGAACTTAAATGTTGCAGTAAACACGCATCTATGCTCTAGATAATAGTGGTACCGATATCGTATAACGGAATAAAAATCAACTCAGAATGTAGTAACGTATAAGCAGCTTTTGAATTCAGATGTCAGCTGTAGACTCACGCTGTTATATCTGCTCGTACCTTATCAATCTCGTTGCCAAATTGCAAGAGCCCACCTGTATTTGCATATATAATTGAGCGCTTACGAAAAGCAGCCTCAAACAAGGGCGTACGAAACAATCTGTGGGATAATATCTATGTAAGTAAGCGTGAAAGGGTACAAATTGTAGTACAGATCATGTGAGTCTTTCACTGAAGCTATGTTTACTGCAACATTCAAGTGTCGAGTGTTACACAATTGTACTACATGACTCTGTATGTAATGTAATAGAAATATAAAAAAAAATTACTAGCTCAATGTTATATGATTTTTCAACGGATATGAGATAGAAAAATAGCACACAAACACCTTACGTGGTTCCTATCAAAAATCGCTGTATACGTTCTACTGTGAATGAAATGTCAAATAGAGGATAAACTATTTTAATTATATACAAGTTGGATTTCTAGTGAAATTTTAAGAAAAAATCAATGTTTCTTTATTTCAGAAATATATTCTATATATATTTTATAACAATAAAAAACAAACTTTGACATGCACAAAAAATTTGTTTCCACACGAAATCGATTATAAGAAAAAAAATATATGTGATCCGAGTTGCCGAATTTCCTTCTCAAAAAAAATGACGCATCTATTTAACTTGCTTTAATTATTATTTGTTTTACTCTCATGTAATAAATTTCGTACTACTGAATAAATTGCTCCCTTTCTCCAAAAATTTCTTTTGTTATTACAATGTTTCTCCATATATGCTAATATATTGATGCTATTGTACAAGGTCGCAGTAATGGGAATCGTTTAAACAAAACATTTTATTTAGAGAGCATTTTATAGAAAACCTAGTCATCGATAATACTTAAACTATTTTACATACTTATATTTATAAAAATTTTAGACTTTTTGAAGTATAAAATCTAAATGTATATCGAGAAAAATACTGCAATATGATCTATTGATATAATGTTTTTGATAATTAAATGTTTGATAATTAATGGTGAAGATAAAGAATTATCCAAAATTGTTTATATTATTTAAAAAATTATATTGCATGAGTTTATAAAATGTATCATTCATTTTGAAAGGATGGTATCATCTATTGTATAATAAATATTAAACTTTGTTAATTAACTTATATGGAGAAGTAATTCATTTATTAAAAAGAGAAATGTAGGAGCAATTTGTTAAGCTTTTTTACGTCGATTTATATTAATTAATACAGAAACTGGACTTGAACAACAGATAGGTGTAATCACTGCATTAATTTCGAATAAATACATTGTGTATAAGTCTTTATTCGGATTCGATATTTTATAATGCAAAATAATTATCGATATGCCTAGGAACAGCAACTTCAATACGTAGCTACTATAGCTCTTGTTCATTTAACCAATTTTATCAGGTGTATTTTATCAGTTTGATGATAAATAATTAGTCTTTTTTATAGAATAGTTTTTTATAATAAAATATACCAACTATTTAAGAACCTACAATAATTTAAAATATTATTAATAAACTATGTTATTTCAAGTGTATTCACAAATACAAGTTCATTAATTACTATTGTCTGAGAGTAAAAATAATTTTAATAAAATTTTAATCACATAATATCCTAAACTTCCATTGAAAGTACAGTTTATTTTGTAATTAATAGTAGATGTGTTAAAATTTCAATATTGAATTAACTTTAAAAAGTATGAACTAACTTTGTCACTCTTGTAATTACTTGTATTGGAAGTTTGGTTTATTATGTAATTAAAATCTTATTGTAATCATTCGTAGTCTTAAAAATTCATTTATTAAATTATTGATAAATAACAAACTTGATTTGATATATTTCAAATTTATTGTAAGCTCTTTAACTTCATAAGCTGAATATTTGAATAACTTAATAAAAGTTTTTAACGTACTAAACTGTTGACCTATTTTATGTGAATGTCCATTGAGATATTTACATGAGTAAATTATGGCAGATTTTCTTATATATTTGGGCTCTTATGATTACATTAAATGTAAACTGTAAACAATGTCAATTACATGAAAATATAAAAAATTAGGAACTGCTCCTCTTTTATATTAAATAATTGCTATTTAGATTAAAAGAACTTCTCTTTAAAAAGACTTAAATTATTTATAATTAGGCTATACAGTGTTATCAGAAATTTGTCTGTATGACTAGAATAAAAATAACTTGCATATGCTATACGTATAGACTTATATATAGCAATTATATGTAATATTTTTCAATATTTTATTGAATTTGAGTTTGTTTTTCACATTTTATAAATAGTATGAAAATGCATGTTTAAGAAAAATTTTTATTTTGATATAACTATGTGCAATCAAATTTGATATTGCTAATAATAACATATTAACAATTTAATTAGATTTAATTTAATTTAATTAGTTAAAGTTAATTAAATTTGACCTAAAAATTCACCTTATCGATATTATTCTTATTAAGAAACCTGTGTATTACCTGAAGAAGAATTAAGACCTGAAACTCTGCTCTTTAATTCATGTTGATCTTGATTCTGTTGAGCTGATTCATCACAGGCTTCATCCAATAAATTTGATTCAGATAATGCCTCTGTCGACTGATTTTCTTTTTGCTGCTCAGGTTTGTCTTTGCCCATTGACTTACAAGACTGAACTGTATTAATACTATTTGCTACTTCTAAGTCTCGTTCTAAAACTGATTGTCTGTAGTTCTGGCAGTGAATTCCTTTAGTATGTCCCATGAATGCAGTGAGTTTCTCAAGCTGATGATTATCAATACCCTTTTTTAAACTCTCAGTAGCCATCTGCATTCGGTATCTTGTTCCTCTCAAAGTCTCTGGCTTCTCAGCCCCACATAAATCTGCAAATTTGGCCATCAAATTACAAGCTGATACAAATGAAAAGTTTTTCTTGCTCACATCTAAGATTGTGGCAAAAACAAAAGGATTATCTTTTAAAATTTGAGCTTTTGGTCTTAGTCGTATCAGACATTTTAAATAGTTGTATATCATCTTGTTGAAAACTATTGGTACAGGCTTTTTTCTCTTGCCACGAACTTCAATACGACATTTATCATCCTTGAAATCAATTTTACTGAAGTCATCTATTCGTAACATTTCAATTTCACCAGACCTTCTACAATTAGTTATGTGCAAGTAGGACACCAATGCATCCCTGAGATTTTCATAACTTTTATGTGAATATTCTTTATTTAAATTTTGATGTGCTGTGTTTATATAATTTTCTAAAAATTTCACCAAGCAGAATATGTCTTTTTGATCAGGTAATTCTTTTTTATTATTTCTTTTATATATAGCCATAGTTTCAGCAATAGTGTTACCAATGGAACTGTGCCACATTTTTTTAAATTTATTTAAAAATGCTTGTACTTGTTTTCGTTTTACTTCTTGTTTTGTTCCTATCATTATCTCATATACAGAAGCTACATTATTAATAAGAAAAAACATGTTATGAGCCGAAGAAGGAGCAGTCATCAAACCTGTTATTGGGTCTGGTTTACCCATTGTTTTTATTGCTTCTATCACATCATCATAAAAATCTTCATGAAATGTGTCGCTTAATTCTTGTATATTGATATTTATTTCTTTGATAATATTTAAAAAGTTTCCTAGTTTACTTAGATTGGCTCGAATTTGCTTGTGGTGCTGTCTTGCTGTTTCAAATTTTTGAGCCTCAGCATTTAGCCAAAAAAAGACTGCATCATCATACCTGATTACATCAACTATATTAATATTGCGCATTTTTGATATTATTTCAATAGAATCTGCTTTAGCAATTGCATGATAATTGCCTTGTGTAGCTCTAGAACTGGATTTTATAACATGCTTTTTTATAAAACTTTGGCCAGTACATGTATGAACATGTTTATGAATTGAAGTTAAGGATAGCATCTTGAAACATTTGTAGCATGTTCCATAGTTTTTAATTGTATATCCAGAATTTTCACGGGGTCTTCGTACAACTACTATTTCAGATACTTCTTGTGCATTTATGTTATTGAGGTGATTAGCTTTACTTGTGAGTAATTCAAGAATTTGTTTTCTTTTTTTTTGATCATCATTCAATGGTTGTCCTTTGACACGTGCAGTTCTGGCATACTTTTTTAGTTTTATGATCAAATCTTCATTTTTGTGTGCTTTTTCATAGTGATCGTTTAAATTTGCAAACTGAGATTTAATTTTGTTATTTTTTGTTTTAAGTTTCTTTTTTGTACAATAGTAACATGAGTTCTTTTTTATTCCACTTTTGCTATCGAATAACAATTTATTTGAATCCTTCATAACTTTACCAACAGAGTTTAAATTTATTGTCAGCTCTAAGCTGCTATTTGCATGACTAGTATCAAGATCTAGATTTGATTTATCTTTTAATATAACAGATGTAGAATTATATTCAACATTATTATTGTTAAAATCTTCTGATAACTTTTTTCTCATTAGATTCTTCTGCTGTTCTATATCATTGACTTCCACGTATAAGTCTTCAGTAACTGATTCACTTTCTGGATAATAAACTTTTTCATTTCTCTTTCTCTTTTTGATATTAATATTTTGGTATGATTTTGTTGATATAGAATCATTAGAACTAGATTCATTGCCAGATTGATCAATGTACTCTTCAAAGTCAGAATCAGAGTTCTCATCGCTAGAACTAGATTCATTTTCAGGTTGATACTCTGAGCCTGATGTAACATCTTCTAATTCAGAGCTATCATTGGAATAATTAAGTCTTCTAATATGATTAGGTTTAGATTGAGATCTGAAATTTTTCTTATTCATATTAGTTTGTGACTTTGACTCCATGTCAAGAGATTTTCCGTGTTCGTCACGAGTGTCTGAAATGGAAAAGTTGAATGAAAAATGAAAAGATAAAGGTGATATTTTTGCAAAAAAATAAGTCACCATTATCAAAACTACCTTTGAAATTTGATGAGGTTATCCAACGAGACATTTGTTTCATTCATGTAATGTCGTTAAAGCTTAAGCCAATGACACCAGACAATGCCACTTGATATAAAAAAACCGAAAAATTTCATATGGTTACTTTTTCTGAGAATAAGTCTGTTAGTTTTGACCATTTGTTAATTTTTGATTATTATATGTTAATGTTTAATTTGTTAATGTAGAATTATTTTTTATTTTTTACAGCGTTGATTTGCTAAGTTGATAAATTTTATTTATTATACAAAATTGATTATTTTATTATTTAATTATTCCAGTGAGCAACGAATCAACGTTGTGTAACATAAAAAGAACTATTCGCTGCGAACACGCCTACTCTCAGAAAATGTAACTAGAGTGAAGGCACTAGTAATTATGTGGTTACTTATCTTAAATTGAAAGGATTTGACACTTTATTGAGTCTTGAATTTTTTATTAATCAAAATCATAAAGTTGTATATAATATATTGGTGGTTGGGTATTATCGCAAAATTCGATCTAGCCTTATAAAATTATAATAAAAAGATGAAAGGAACGAAAACATAAACAAATAGCCGCTATTTCATCTACGTACTTTAATATTTCGCCACCTACCGGTACAAAACATAACTAAGACACAATTAGCTTAGGGTGTAAAGGTAGATCACCTATCTTCTTACACCGTGGCGAATCAGTAAGATTTTTGTCTCATCTGTGTCGATATAATGTTAAGGGCCTTTCCATATCTCCCCCGGTCCAGCCTGTAAATTAATGCAAAAAAAGTATTTAGACATATAAACCCACAGTTTTTCAATTGCCCAATTCAACTGCGTTATTTATTTTATTTGACCACTTTCACTTTACTTACAAAAATTAATAATTATGTCCGGTATCACTGCAAACTTCAAGCATTAATATCTCGATAATTAAGTAATACTTTTTAATTCCTGAAAATGCAAAAAATTGCCCTTGAGATGATTTAATTTGCCTAGTTGATTGCAATGATAATTCATCAATTTTTCATGTGATAATTATTAAATAGCTATAGCATTTATACGATTCTCGTATTGCGCAGGCGCAATGAAATCAAGTCTGTATCATACCGGAAATATTTGACAACGCCGCTATTTTTCATATCATATTGAATGGTATTTTTTATAAGAGAAACCAATGTCTAAATATGTAGCTATTAAATTATAATTATTCTAATTCTATAAAATAAGAACATTAATTAACCTCATAAGTCACTGTCCAATGAAACTCTTCTGTAATAATTTTCAAATCAAATAAAATGACCTTTATTCTAGTGGAAAAAATAGTTAAAAATCGTATACATATAATAAAGAAAAATATTTTATGATTAGTTACGTTTTTTTATAGGTAATGATAGTGGCATTATCAAATCCGATGAGATACCCTTAATTTGACTGCGCATGCGCAATGCGCGAATCGTACACATACTTTAGATTTTCAATATTTTTCAAATGAAAAATTTATTAATTGTCATTGCAATCGATTGGGCAAATTAAATCAACTTAAGGGCAATTTTTTGCATTTTCAGAAATTAAGAAATATTACTTAATTATCGAGATATTGACGCTTGAAATTTGTAGTGATACCGGATATAATTATTAATTTTTGTAAGTAAAGTGAAAGTGGGCAAATTAAATAAATAACGCAGTTGAATTGGGCAATTAAAAAACTATGGGTTTACACGTCTAAATATTTTTTTTTGCATTAATTTGCAGGCTGTACCGGGGGAGGTCCGTTCCATCGAGGTGATGTGACTGTGATGTGCTTATTTCCAATGTTTCAAGATTGTAAAAATCACACAGAACTATAGCAAATCGCATTACATCACAGTCACATTACCGCAGTGTAGAAAAGCCCTAATAATTAGTTAAATGAAAAAATTCTCAATTCTCGTATTAGGCAGCGCCTCGATCAAAGAATAATATAATTAGGACTGGATTAAAGTAGGTGCGCATATGTAGTATAGAGCTACTGCGCAGCACATTTGCGAAACTTCAATGTGATCTCTTGCAGTCCCTCTGTAAGTCTATGAAATAAGATATCCGTAATATCACTACGGACGCCCAACGAAAGCCGCGGATAGAAAAACTAATTTTACGTGAACGTATAATTTACGTTTTTGTTTGTTTGAAATTTATACAGTATTTTATAGCTTGTACAATACGGTTTTTTTATGCGTTTTATAATGTATATTTCCGCTGATTAAAATACACGTAGGGTATCGGTGGATGTCTGTTTTACCATTTGATGCTTAAAAACAGTTTTTTATGTTCTGGAAAATAATTGTATTTCATTCAAAACCTTCCAAGAAACAAAATCTCACTTTATAAGACGACATTAATAGCGGCAGTTTGGAAAGATTTTTTCTGCTTAATCTGACATTCGGATACAAAAGTTACCATAGATCACTTAAATAACCATAGATAGTAAAACAGATAATTTTCCATTAATATTCGGTTCACAATATATCTATCTATGTAGTAAAATGTCGTATCTATGAAAGTTAAAAAAATGCCCAAAGTGCCCAATTAGAATATATATATATATATATATATATATATATATATATATATATATATATATATATATATATATATATATATATATATTAGTGTTATATTTATAAATATTAAATGTTGATATTATGTGTATTTAATTTTATTTTGCATATGGTATTAGTTTTATTTTGATCTACATTAGCTTCATCGTAGTACATGTCATGTACGCAGGCAGTCCCATACCGGGTCACTGTCTGGTATTTGACAATTCACTCCAAAGTTGCAGCAGACCTTAGGTTGTGTCATGAGTACCGTTGTGAACACACCTTAGTAGCGCGCGCGTTCACTACCGTTATACTATTCGTTTAGCGCATGCGCGATGCTACTCTTTTATCGCGCGCTTTCTTGTTGCCTCGTGTTTTAGCCGGGTGTCATGGCGTCGAGCCCTTTGTTCAACTGTCACTCATGATACCGACTTTCAATTGCGTTTAATTCACGAACAAAGCTATGTCACTCGCGAGAAATCTAATGTTGCTGTTTCTCTGTATTTACGTTGTTACTTTTAACCTTGATCCGAGCTATGCCTTTACGCCACTGCACGATAAAAAGAAAAACGCGACAGAAAAACCGCACTATTCTGCAATTTTATTCATGTCGTAAATTTACTCTAGAATTCCAGCCCTCTCTTATTAATTCGCTCTAATATATTATGCCGTTTCTTTTCTAATGATTACGCGCTCGATATTTTTATTAGTCTACGACTTACTAAGTGATAAATAAAAAATATTTGTTCTTCGGATACTTTGCGTACTCAGAATGCGACACTTTCCGTGTGCTTATTAGCTCACTTTGCTTTTGTTTGTTATTTATCGCGAGCTCGTGTTGCTCAGGTGAATTCTTTTCAGCTCACATTAATAATTTTTAACATACCTCTATGATTTATAATTTTTGCTGCGCAGCGGAAGCGTGGCAGGGCCGATAACCTGTTGGAATATTAGGATAGATCGGAACAACAAACACTTTTAATTAGATATATTGTAACGGTTATGATTTACCTAAATAATAAATCGGTGCTCGTTAACAAAATAAGTCACCGTCACTCCCACGTTACGAAGCTAACCGCCGCTTCGTTGGAGGAAGACTTACCTCCCGGCTGTGGTGCCGACTGCTTCGTCGGATGCGTGCTCGACGTACTGCTTGCGCGGGGGAGTCGGTGGGTTCGGATAGCTGGGCAGAGGAGATACGTGTGCTTCTGCCCACGTCAGTAAACAAGGCGGCCGATTAATTGCAGACACCTTTTATTCGTCTAGCGGTTTGCTTACATCCCGTAGAGAAAGAGGCCGAGAGCTTTACTCAGTGATGCGTCGCTGCGTCGCGCAACGATGATACGCTAGGTTTTACCGCGAGGGAGAGAGAGAGAGAGGTATAAACGGACCGATCCTCGCACGCTTAATAAAACATAATCTTCTCGCAGATAATTGTACGCCGATGAGATTACTCACTCCTTCTCGTTGTAGTCCCGCGCAAAACCTCTATCAACTCTTCGGTTGCCGGCCCTGTGCGCTGGCTTTCGTCGCCCTGGAGGTGCTTTCTTCTCTCTCCTCGAATTCCTTCAGCACTCGTTGAAGCTTTCGTGACTTGGGCGACGGCACTCACTCTTGGCGCACTTAACTTGATGCACCTATTGGATCCAGTTTCCAATCCTCGTACTTTTGCACTCCTTAGCTCTCTTTTCTTCTAATTCCCAGTTTCCTTTCTTTTTACTGATCCTCTCGATAAGCCGGTTCACACGTGAATGTCGCTCGCGCCTACCCCCACCCCTCACGGTCCTCTCTCTGTTCTCTCCGCTCGCGCACGGTTTTCTGCGCAGCTGGCCCGCGCACGACACGCGCTGGCCCTCTATTAAGTTGATTTTTCCCTTAACGAGCCGGCTCGTTACAATATATAAATGAAACTATACAAATGATTTATTCTAATGTTATAGCAGTCTCTAATTATTATTACAAAGTAAGTCACAACTCAAAAAGGTGAAAAATAGCAAAATGAATAAAAAAAGGAAGTTGCAGAGCTCCGCGTCGCAGCGAGGGCACAGCTGGAATGCAGCACTAGTTAGGACGGCAGTGCAGCAAAGTGAAGATGGCGTGATGAGTGCCCGCGCACATGCGCACAGTATTTCGAACATTTACCAAGAATGTCCGACAACGAGAGCCAATATGATTGGCAGAATCACGGAAGCAATTCGGTCGCTGCAGGCAGTAGAAATTAGAAGAGTTGTTGATAATTTCCAAAGAAGAGTTTAAGCATGTATTTTTCAAGGCGGAGCGCATTTTGAACATTAAAGTTTTTGTCAAA